AACGAATAGTGGGATTGACCATAACATTATAACACCCCCTACGGCTGAAAGGGCGAGCATGTTTGGTGGGACTGGGATTCGAACCCGCGACCCACAGATTGCGAGTCGATCTCCCTAATCCACCTGGCCATGCCAGGCCCCTCAAGACAACGTAGAAGAAGTTTAAGCATGCAACACATAGTATTTTTAAGTGAAGCCACTGATGGCTGTAATAAACTTATAATTGTGTAAGTATGAAACATAACCAAATAGCTCCAATACAGCCACATTTATGTTTCATAAGTGACTTTAACAAAGCATTTAAAGTTGCTCAGGTGTTTTTGCACAGTTGTCGAACTTGAGAAGTATTTTACCACCAGGTGTCACTAAATGTGAATAGTAAAGTTCAGCTTGAAAACCTGGTGGTTACTTTTATTACTTTTTAATTTACTTTCATTTTTATATCTGTTTAAGTACACATCCTCTCTCCTATAAAAATACTTTGTTTTAAAACACTTAAAAACAAATGTATATTCCTACACAGTAATTGTTACTTATACATTAATATCACAGATACACCCGAAATGACATAGTTTACTAACTAGTAAATCAATAATGTTATCATTAAAAAAAAATTACCTAGATATGCATGCAGGCGTTTTCTGCATATATTAAAATAATACATAAACTTATAATAAACACACCACTCTTATGATCATAAAATTAATAGAAATTATATATCCTTAGTATGTGTGTATAAACCCTTCAGTTTTTGTAATTTTTAGGTCACTATTTGTTTTAATTATTAATTTTAGTTCACACTGAACTTTTATACTTTAGGCTGTGGTATTATCAATTTCACTAATATTAGTCTGTGGTATTATCAGCCTTATATAAAGTAAGTGCAGATAACTGGAGGAATGGTAGGAAATGTGTTGCAGGATTAAAACTGAAATTTTGATATGACTGAGCTGATGAGAGTACACTGGACATGATGTTAAACATTGAAAATCATTCTTTATTTATGACAAAGCAACAAGTGAAAATAGATGAGTACAGAGAATGTGGGGCAGCATTTTTAGTGAGGAGACTTGTGAGCACTCGATCTATTCTGGAGATATTCTGTTCTAGAATGAGAGACTACAATGATGTACACACAAACAATAATGTCATTCTCCTCACTATCCTATCCATGTTAATAATGTCATTCTCCTCACTATCCTATCCATGTTAATAATGTCATTCTCCTCACTATCCTATCCATGTTAATAATGTCATTCTCCTCACTATCCTA